CAGTACTCTAAACCAAGCCTGTACCTCAATTCCCAAATTCCACCTTTCTTCTCAAAGTCCAAACTTCAGGAAAATAGACAAAACTACATTGGGGAAGGAGTAAAGTATAATACCCATTGCTGTGCAATCTTCATGGTTCCCTGCTAATTTGTACCCAACATATCTTCATATCATCACCTAAGGGAAATCATCTGTAGAAGAAGGTAATTACTTTCCTCTCTATGCTTATGGTTTTTCCAGATGAATGCTGTTGGCCATTTTGAGGCATTGAATACTGATCTATATGGCTTCTTGGCCTGATAGCAAAGTGTTGGTGCTGTGTCTTGAATGGGAGACTTGAATCAGAGAATGAGAGTGCCACCAGATTTTACTCTGGAGCAGATCTTAGATTAACACAGGAATAGCCTGCTTCAGTGGCTCTCTCCCAGTTTTCTTAAATGGCAGCCATTCACAGAGAAAAGACAAAGCTAATGAAGGGATTTTCCCCCCAATCTTTTAACTATCACCACTAGTTACCACTCAGATTTGCTCAAACATTGTATTTCTTTTTGCTTTCTCTGAATAGAACAGAATACTATTGAATTCACAAATCACTTTACAGAATAGAGTAGAGTAGAGTAGAGTAGAGTAGAGTAGAGTAGAGTAGAGTAGAGTAGAGTAGAATAGAATAGAATAGAATAGAATAGAATAGAATAGAATAGAATAGAATACAATACAATACAATACAATACAATACAATACAATACAATACAATACAATTCTTTATTGGCTAAGTGTGATTGGACACACAAGGAATTTGTCTTGGTGCATATGCGCTCAGTGTACATAAAAGAAAAGATACATTCATCAAGAATCATAAGATACAACACTTAATGATAGTCATAGGGAACAAATAAGCAATCAAATCATATTAGGAAACAGTCAATATAAATCATAAGGATACCAGCAACAAGGTTACAGTCATACAATCATAAGTGGGAGGAGGTGGGTGATAGGAATGATGAGAAGATTAATAGTAATGCAGACTTAGTAAATAATTTGACAGTATGGAGGGAATTATTTGTTTAGCAGAGTGATGGCATTCGGGGGAAAAACTGTTCTTGTGTCTATTTGTTCTGGTGTGCAGTGCTCTATAGTGTCGTTTTGAGGGTAAGAGTTGAAACAGTTCATGTCCAGGATGTGAGGCGTCTGTAGATATTTTCACAGCCCTCTTTTTGACTTGTGCTTTTTCATCCTACCTTAAGCCAAGTTTCTGCTGCATCATCAAACGAATCATCCCAAATTTTCATTTGAGGCACAACTGGCCAGGTTAAAATCTTAATTTTGGACACATTTATGCAAAAACCTAGCTGCCTGAAAAAGACCATAAATGTGTGAAAGGAAGAAGGAAAAAGAAAAAGAGGATGACAGTAGCAAGGTGAACAGACTTTGTCATGGTTGATATGAATGGATTGTTAGAAGATCAGAAAGACCAGGTTAGGGACAGATTGTCTTATCTCTGTGGTTGCTGTGAGGCAACACCAACTTGATGGCACGTAATTAATGACAAGATGGTCAAAGGCTGTGTTCCAGTATCCTGTTTTTCATTGTACAATTATCCCAGTGATTTGAAGATTCTTTTATTTCCTCGTTCTTCTTAAATTCCAAGGAATACCTCACAGTGATTGGCATCTGATTGGCCATACCCACTTCAGCAGTTATTTCTCCAGAAATGAAGTAAGCCCTCAAGATAAATTCAAAGTGGATTTTCCGGTCCCTTGAGACTAAAGAAAAACAGAAGCCTGTTTCACTGGGGAAGAAAACGTTTGAGAAAGTGCAAGGCAGATTTGGCACAGGATTAATCTTGACTTCAGAGCCTTTTCTTCACTTTTTATAAGCCCCATTCTCTGTGCTTCTCCGATTTGATATATTATGTATAGGGTGTCTACTGATGGAGATTTTCAATCATCCAAGTCATGGTTGTCCCTTCAGCTCTGAAGAAGCTTCTTGGATGAGAAGCTAATTAGGGGACTGGAGACTAAAACATATCAAGAACAGTTACAGGAACTGGGCCTTGCTAGTCTAGTGAAGAGAAGGACCAGGGGAGACATGATAACCGTCTTCCAATACTTGAGGGGCTGCCACAGAGAGGAGGGGGTCAAGCTGTTTTCCAAAGCACCTGAAGGCCAGACAAGGAATAATGGATGGAAACTGACCAAGGAGAGATTCAACCTAGAAATAAGGAGGAGCTTTCTGACAGTGAGAACAATCAACCCATGGAACAGAAGTTGCCTTCGGAAGTTGTGGGAGCTTCATCACTTGAGACTTTCAAGAAAAGATTGGACTGCCATTTGTCAGAAATGGTGTAGGGTCTCCTGCTTGAGCGGGGGGTTGGACTAGATGACCTACAAGGTCCCTTCCCACTCTGTTAATCTAAATCTATCTAAGATGATCAAAGACCTGGAGATTAAAACATATGAAGAACGTTTGCAGGAACTGGGCATGGCTGGTCTAGTGAAGAGAAGGACCAGGGGAGACATGATAGCAGTGTTTTAGTATTTGAGGGGCTGCCACAGAGAGGAGTGGATTAAGCTATTCTGCAAAGAACCTGAAGGCCAGACAAGGAATAATGGATGGAAACTGACCAAGGAGAGATTCAACCTGGAAATAAGGAGAAATTTTCTGACAGTGAGAACAATCAACCCATGGAAAGTCACCTTTGGAAGTTGTGGGAGCTTCATTACTTGAGACTTTCAAGAAAAGATTGGACTGCCATTTGTCAAAAATGGTGTAGGGTCTCCTGCTTGAGTGGGTGGGTGAGGGTTGGAATAGATGACCTATAAAGTCCCTCCCAACTCTGTTAATCTGTTAATTAATTAATTAATTAATTAATTAATTAATTAATTAATTAATTGTTTCAATTTATATGCCACCCTTCTCCGGAGACTCAGGGCGGCTTACAATGTGTTAAGCAATAGCCTTCATACTTTTGTATATACCTGCTTAGTAGGGCTTTCGGCCCCCCCTAAGCGGTGTTCTTTTTTATACAAAGTCAGCTTATTGCCCCCACAATCCGGGTCCTCATTTTACCTACCTCGGAAGGATGGAAGGCTGAGTCAACCTTGAGCCTAGTGAGATATGAACTCGCAGTAATTGCAGGCAGCTGGCAGCTAAGTGCTATTTAACAGCACTTTAGTCGGCTGCACCAGCAAGGCTCCTTAATCTGCTCTTGGAGAAAAAAAAAACACCTCTATGTATGAGGATATGTATTGGGCTAAATCCCCTTCTCCATCACTTAGTCCAGACATCCTCCAAGAGCTACCAGGCGCCGCTTAGCCTTGCGGGTCTCCCCAATGAGTTCGGGAACTAGCCAGGAACGCCAGAAAGAGGGAGGCCAGGGTCGTCCCCCCCTCCATCTCTTTCCGGGAGCCTGGAGCTAACACGCTGGTTTTCCACGAGGGGAGTGCCCCTCATTTACAACTCCCTTCTCTCCGAAAATGATTTTTTGAGCCCCTTCCGTCACACATGCATCCCTCTCCATCCGAATTCGCGTTAATTCTCTCACTCGGCCAAGTTGGACCAGAACAGTCTTCAAATAACAGGAGAGGCTAGGAATTTGGGGGGGGGAGCGTGTGTTTGTGTCATTTTCCTCGACCGAACTTGCGTGAGTGGCGAAGACTACCCACCCGCGGAAAGGCGCGTTGGATTCCGAGGGGGTCTCTATAGAAAGGGCGCTGGAATCGAATTCAGACCGGACCGGGGTGGGTGGGAAGAGAAGAAACTCGATTCACGGCGCGATCTTTTCCCACCTTCCGCCCCCAAAAGCAAACCGAGCACTCCGCGGCGGTTTCTTTCAACGACCCCCCCCTCTTTATGAGCAGAGAGGAGAAGGGGCGCCTTCAGCGAGCGGGAGCGGACGAGATTTGGGGGGCACCTTCTCCCCCCCCCCCCCCCCCCACTTTCGGCAGCAATTTCTGCTGCTCGCGCTGGTATGCAAAAGCTGTGGCGTTAAGCCTGGAGATGCTGGTAGGTACTAAGGGAGGCAGCGCAAGATCGCAAGCATTTCACACCCCCAACTCCCTTCCAGTAAAATTGAAAGATGAGGCCGCCGAACCTCTTGCGGGACTTATTTGAACGTTTGCGGAAAGATTAAACAACAACAACAGCAACAACAACAACAATAGTTTGTGAGTGCTGGGAACTTCGGGTCCGCAGCTGTTTTGCTTTGCAACCTGCTGCCATTGGCTCAAATGCGGGGCTCCCTCCGTCCAGCCCAACGACGACGCTCTTCGGTTTCGCCTTGATAGCCGCGTTGGCTCTTGTCCCTTTTTTCCTCCAAGGATCCGCCAGAAGCAGCGGAGGCGGGAGATACATTTACACAAAAATAAAATAAACAAGCATTTTAAAAAGGCGGCAGCGAGGGAGATTTTGCACCATCCGTCTCCCGCAAGGTGGATTTAAGGTTAATTTGCTTCTATTGGGTGGAAAAAGACAGGCGGCGGGGGGAGAGAGAAGAATGATGATAGAAGCCTCTTAGCAACCCATCCAGATTGAACACTCTCCCCCTACACACACACACACACACACACACACACACACACGTGTTCCTCATTTAGCATTGTATTTGTGTTTTATTTTTTTTTTCCAAAGGCAGATCATCATCTTTCTTTTTTCTTTTTTTAAATCTCTCCAGGGTAAATCAATGATTAATCACCAAGGTGTTAGAAGCATAATTCTCGGAGGAGTTTCAAATAACCCAAGACGGTACTTAAAAGTATATAATGATAACATTGAAAGAAAAGCGGGGAATGAATGGAACGGGGAGTTTGGGGGGGTGGGTGGGAATAGAGTACCAGTTTTCTCCCCAAGCTCCTGTGTGATTTGGTTTAGTCCAGCTGCAGCAGCTGGGAGGAGGGAACACAGAGGCTGCCCATACATTCGGATTTTTCCCTCCTAGAGGAAAAAAAAAAACCCACCCACCGCCACCCCACCTTATTGTTATTAATCTTATATATGTACATAAGATTAAACAAGGGCCATCCTAGGGAACCCTCAAGCTGGATACTTCCCTTTCCTCCTCCGTTAGATTCTTCCACTGATCAAAGAAAGGAGGAGGTGGGGGGGGGGTTGAAAAGGAAGAGGAATCCAGACCAATCACCCACCTCCCTCTCTCCCCCCTCCTCCTCCTGTTCCCTCCTTCTCTTCCAAGCGAATCAGCCCCCCAGCTCCCGTTTGACATGCAATCCTCTTTCGGTTGGGACAAGCCGGCATGCCACTGCAGCTTTAAACGGAATTGGGGGAAATTGGGGATTTTTGCTCTCATGACGGTGGAAGTGAGCTATTGGAGCCGGATTTTACTGCTCTCGGTGGGGGTTTTGGCAACAACAGCCACCGGTAAGTGGGGTTCGAGGAAGATGGTTAAGTTTGGGGTATTGGGGGGGTGGGGAAGCCTGTGGGGTAGTCGTAAATGTGTGCGCCGCGGCTGACCATCTCTCTCTCCTTCCCAATGGATGACCCATCATTTTTTATTCTACTCTTGATGGGCATTTTTTTTTCCAAGGGAGAGAGCGGTGGAATTGAGAATCTGGGGGTCTTTTCTTGTCTAAGGGAAGCTGCGTGAGCTTCCTTGGCAGTTTTTTGGTACATTTTGCTGCTCATCCAGACTTAAAGTTTGCAAGGATGGGGCATCGGAGCAACAATTTTCAAAGGGTAATTTCTTTCCCAGGATGGGTGTGAAGGAGGGCGAAGAATGGATGCATCCCAGAATATCGCCTGCCGAACTGAATTCTTTTTTCCTTTGGGCTGGTAATTTGCAAAACTGGGAAAAACATAAGAAGAAGATACAAACCTCTGGATGCCTTTATATTTTTTTCTTCTCTAATGAAAGATACTTGAGAAAGCCTCTCATTTTGGGGAGGGTTGTGAAAGTGATATAACACATCCCGGACATTTTCACGCAAGCCAGCCCCCCCCTCCTTCCCCATTTTTACTCAGAATAGAATTAAGGCCTTGACTTTTCTAATAATTTTCCACATCCGGAATAGGTTAAAAGGGAAGTAAGGGTTTTCTTCCTTGCTGCAGAAGCTGGCAAAGGCTGAAGTTTGATTTCTTGACAAATGATATTGAGCGAAGGAAGAAGGAACAGTTGGTTTCTCCTAAAGGGTGATTTTATGCCTGCAAGAGGTTGGACTAATTAGAATTTCTTGACAGATGGGGTTCATTGGGGAAATCTTTCTTCCCAATAGTGGGGGGACTCTTTGACTTTTCTGCCCCTTTCTAAAGTGATTTTAGGCCACAGTGCTGAACATAAAAATGGGAAGAAACTGGAACTCCATCAGATGTAGTGTCTTTTTACTTCAGTGCAAGGGGAGGTTGGATGCCATGTGTGGATCTATTTTTTACACATCATTAGGTCAACTTTGTGGTTGGACTGCAAAACAACCGAGGTCTTTCTTCCTGGGAGAGTCTTTCCCAGAAGACTTGGGTTGACAATCATTTGTTTGTTTGGGGTGATCTTTGGGTAGCTCTCATAAAGATGACATTGGAAGGTAAAGAGGAGAGCCAGTGAACTCAACTAAGGATAGAATCTTGTTTTTGACCTGCTGTGTCTATTTTCTTGCTTTTTGGGGTGTCTTGGCTTATTAAGAGAGGAAGCACTCAAAACGTCTGTATCCTACAAGTGGGATGCTAGTTAGATGCAGTTAATGGAATGCTTCTTCAATTTGTCTTCTCATCCTCTTTTGCTTCATAGTTTCTCCATTTATAGATGCCCCGATTTTAATTTCCTTGGGCACTTTATTGTGCTCTGTTTTGCAAAATGCTCCTGAAACTATTTTTTTTTCTTTTTTGCAAAATATTTGGATTGTTGCATTTTACTACTTTGATTACCTACTGTATCGTTTTCCAACACCAAGCAGCCCATCATTTCCAACTGTATGTCTCTACTTCCTTAGGGGTGATCAGATTTATAGTTCAATATCAGATGGAGAATAGCAAATTAGAGAAGTCTGATCTGTAGGAACAGATCAGTCTCATCTCGATGAACTTCATTTGGGCTGGTGGGCTGTCACTGTATAGATCTTCATTCTCCTCCAAAAGTCTCATTTTGCTAAAAACTGGTTATTTGGGGTTTGATTTTCATTCTTTCTAAATCTTTCCCTATTTTTAAGGATAGACATGGCATTCTAAGTTTTTAAATAAGTTTTCCAAACAATTTGTCCCTTCTGTTGAAAAGAACGCAGTGATTATTTCATACTTGACTAACCACTGGCTTGATAATCCTATTTCTGTTAGTCTAGTGTAGGTTTTATTTTTTTAAAGCCTTTGATAAAATGTCAGCTTGGTTTGCTATATTGGAGCAATAACTGAGACCTCACTCACTGATTATGGGATGCTTGCTTCACCTGCTTCTTTTTCTCTGGAGACCCTCCCCCATTATTAGAGAGTAATGACCATGACTGTCCAAAGTGTGGCACTACAGGTGTGTGAATAATGCTAGCGGAAAATAGCAGTTACATGTATTAAATGGATGTATCTAAGTGTATACCAAAACTCAGTCACCTTGCTAGTATCACATTAATCTCTTTCATCTAATTGGAGACATTTGTCAGTAATTCCAATTGTTCATTGAAAGTGGAATAGAAAGGTAGAATACTGTATTTTTTTTAAAAAAAAAAATACAGATACTGCATTTTCTAGAGGAAATTGTGAGTCTCACCAGATATGTAGACTATATTATGAGTTAGCAAATACATTTTTTTTATTTCATAAAGAATATTTCTTTATCAAAGGAAAAGGCTATTTCTGTTTCCTTATATTCTTTAATATTGTAAAATACAATATATTTTTTAAAAATAAAACCATGAAGGGACAGTGCTTTTTATTGATGTCCTAGCTCTGTCTCTGACCCTATGAAAATCATCTGACTATTTTCCTTGCTGCAGCTTATCCTTTCAAATCATTATACGTGGAGCAGGATTGCTGTTTCTAAAGATATTATTCGTTACACAGCTGCTGTAAATGGATAGGAAACCAAAGCAAACCCTATTACTTTCATTGAGTTCTGCTCTTATTTTCTAACAATAGCCCTGTGAGGTAGTCTAGGTAGAATAACAAACAGCTCTGGAATCAAAATGGGTAAAAACAAGCTTCCTGAGACTTCCTGATTCTTTGATCCTTGTGGATATTTGAAGGGCTGCTCAGCCAGCCTAATGAGCTTCATTTGACTTGGTGGGAGAAGGGAAACGTATTAGATATGATAAAGAACAGGTTGGGTCTTCATTTACTTTAACCATGATTTGTTGAATATGTTATTGTTGGGTGGTTCCCTTATTACATTAAAACATAAACTATCTAGAAAACTACAGTAGCTGTGTTCGTACGGCATATTAAACCAAAATCAACAATAATGCTATGATTTAACAGGAGGTAAAGCACAAACAATTAGCTCCCTTTCTAAATAAAGTTTACATTGTTAGTCTTTGCTAAGTAAACCGGAATCTCATCTTTGCTATTGGGTACTGAGTTTCTGGGCAGACCTGAATAAGCTGGAATGGAATAATCACAGGAAGAAGTTTCCTATAGTTTATCTATACCTCCCTCATTTATTTATTTTTTTTGCATCTGAGCTGAAATGAGCCACTTAAAGAAGGATTTGGGTTTATGGTTTGGGACTGGATCTGAGCTACATTTTTGCCCCTAGTTCCTGGTAGTGAGTGAAAGGACAGTTAAAACCCTTCTTTTGCAGAATTGCCAGAACAGGATTTCCTGCACTGTTGGAATATTTATTTTGAGAAGCCCCTTTATAGCAGGTCATCACATTGGAGCATGACCAGAACCAGAAAACTGACAAAGCGTCTGTACAATCAAGCAACTCTGTTTAGCTCTAGACATAGCAAAGAAAAGGCAGCCTCAGTGGAATGGATTGGAGTCCTTCATCATATGCTCAGCCTCAGTGCTGTGCTTAAAAAACCCATTTTCATATATGTAAATTTAAAGAACAATAAAAGATTTCAGGGTGTTGGGACAGAGGTTGCTTGTGCCTTATCTCCTTCCTAGTGTTTAGTCCTTAGGTGACTGATATTGCATGCTTAGCAGGTTACTGTGAAGTGAAGAAGTGTCGTCTTGTTGGTCCATGCCTTCATACCTCCAGCATCTCACTCATCCGGATGATAGCCGCGTTTTCTAGTTCTGTCTCAATGGCACTTGCTAGCTTTCATTTCTCAGTTCTAGCTGCAAAATTTATATAGGCTGATGCAGTCTGGAAGTATTTCAAATTGTTAGCATCCTTTAAAAAAACACTATGAATAAAGCTTCATTCTTTGCTTTATTTTTCACATTCTTTGTCAGAATTTCTCTGTTTCCTGCTTAGGCTTTGGAGCATGTCCATTTTTGGAGTGTAACTTTCCACATGCTACTTTCAGATGGTCTATCCTTCAAGCCAAAAAGGTTACAAGTCCTTATGCTTGTGTAACTAAAACATTCGGCCGAAATATTCAAAGTCAACTCTCAAGTAAACAAATTGCAAACTGGGTTGTAAAGGGGGAAGAAAAAAAGTGCTAAATTTCCTCATGGTTTTGGCCCTGTGCGTATGTCTGTGCATGTGTGTGCGTGCAATGTGGATATAATAAAATTATTATCCAGGTTTTTTTACATACTGATCGTTGGAATGTGTAGAGAGACTGGATGTGCTTTTTCAAATCCCACAAGCTATGCAGACAACATGCTGATTCTACTCTGTAATAAGTTAGAAAGAGATCTAATTAACTGAATGTTTTCAGTTAGATTGAAGCTACTTATTTACACTGTGGAAAAATCATCAGAAATGGAGACAAACAGTAGGAAAGAAGGTTTCTTGCAGATACTTTTTCTTTTAATTGTATAAGTACTCTTAATGAGCTTCCTGCCAGTCTGGTACCTTTCAGATGCATTAGACTTAATTATTATCGTTGGCCATGCAGTTTAAGAATTATTGGTGTATGTGTGAAAACCAGCACATCTAAGGGTATAACAAATAAGGAAGATAACCTTGATGGAGATTTGCAAACTCTGTTGCCAAGGCAACAAGGGGTAAAACATATTTTAAGTCCACTACCACCAAAAAAACATTTGGAAGCAGCTCAGATTTCTCCCTAATTCACTGAACTATTAGTAGTAGTACTTAGGAGATGCAAAATACTCAGACTCAAGCAAGATTTTTTTTTTTATTGTAGTAGAAGTAACTTCCTGTGGAGTTGACTCCTTGATCTGAGCTGGCAGGAGTACACCACGTTGGAGATGAGAACAGGTCTGGGTAGCGTTGGATTACGTGAGCCTGGTGGTATGCTCTTGAATTCTAAGAGAAATGGGCCCTTTGATTCAGTTTAACAACAGGGTACTATTCTGTAGATTTATTA